AATGGATGCTAGTTGTGTTTCAGATGCCAAGGAAGATGATACCATCTTGAGGGGTACCTATCTTCCCATGACCGACCTCGCAGCACATTCACAAGTCGATTACTACGAAGAATTTACCCACATATATCCTGCATACTTGGGCAGCAAAAATGCATTCGCGCGGGCGTTGGTCAATATTGAATGGATCAGAGAGAATGGTCTATTCTTGCCCTGGGCCAGATATGATGATTTCATCCGGATCCTTGCTTCGGACTGGTTGGATTACGTGGAGAAGAATCGTGGATTGGGTAACAAACTCATGAGTGGTTTGAAATACTACGAGATAAACTTCCCCGATCAACCATCATTCGAATTCAAGTTCATTACTGGCGAAAATCTTCAGGACGCACTAGCATCTCTTGACGCAGAGCAAGTAGCTAGATATCGGGCCAAATACCGCGAACCTTTTCAAAAGGAGGCCGAACCCGTGCAGACACCAAAGCTGGTATCGCTAGATACTGTAGCTACTAAAAAATGCATTCCGATGGATTTGGACACCGAAGAACAAACTTTCCTTCCCAATAGTAGAGAGGCCAGCCCCGAGTTAGGATCAACGAATGGTTCCGTGTTCGATAGCCGTCCTGTATTCTATGGGAGAGAAGCTAGCCCTGAACTCGGTTCTGCGAACAGGGAATCTAACTTATTCGATCACAGACTAAGACAGCCATTCTTTGAAACGCATAGTCAACTGCCCATTGCGCAACGCCAAGCAGGGACTCCTGAGTCCCGTCGATCGGGTACCCTAGATCTAAACGCCAGTGAACCCAACAGCCATAGCAGCAGGATCTTCCCATGGAATAAGGACCACTTAACCTCAAGCCCGAACCTCTCTTCTCGGTTAGAAGCCAAGTTTTCCACTCCAACAGCTTCCAAAAAAAACCGCGATCGACTACCATCAAGTCAGCGATATGTCAGTAGTCCAAGGAGCCCGCCGCGACAATTGCTAGGGTCTCCTGTCCATGTTTCTCGGAGTGAGCCATTGAGACCGACGAAAAGAGTCAAAAAACATTCTTCGACACCGCCATCTCGTGATTTAGCCGTTTATAAACGACATTCGTTGCCAACTTCAAGTGTCAGTTCACTTCCCGGGCCAATCATTCCGAAGCACGCCACCATTCCTGAGAGGCTTACCTCAAGGAGACCAATGTTGCAAGAGTTTCTCGCTCGCAGAGAGAAAACCGGCTCGACTCCCAAGACGACTCCCGGAAAAAGATTCTGCACAAAGCCGGTCAGGACCCCGCCCAAACAACTTGAGCCGGAGACGCAGGGATTGGATGTGTAAGACTGGAATACATATCAGAGTCGTGAGTGTTTGATAATATTGAGGATAGAGGAACGGAGTTCGGCATTCAACCTGTTGGCTATAGAGCACAGGGTTTGTTTTCTAGATATCCACTATAGCAATGTTTAATGATTCTGGACCCAACTATTCTCGACCCATTAGGGCTCTCGCATGGAACGTAGTGCAATTCAATGCAGCATTTGTTGTGCATAGCTAACGGTTTGCGGCACCTCCGTGTAACCACATCCAGGCCGAGTTCTTGGGATTGACTTGTTTCTTCAACCGTAGACCGATAGTTCCACCCAGAAATCGGGGTTTGCCGTCGACGAAGCAGCTCAATCTCATTTCAATTTTGATACGGCATAACAATTTCTTTAGGCAACGTCAACCTTCGTGTCGACTGGCTTTCCCTTCTCCGTGGCATCTCGCTCCGCTTGCCTCGTCTCCTCTTCCAGGGTCCTCGTCCTCAATTGTAGTGCATGAATGCCACCTTCCCTCGCCATCTCCTCCTTTAGCAACGCATAAACCATTCGATGCCGTGCCGGCTGCATCTTACTCTTGAAAGCCTCGCTCGTAATGACGACTCTGAAATGTGTTTCTTGGGAGGTGGAGCCTGCCATGGCTTTGTGGTGTGAGTGGAGGTGCGAATCATTATGAATCTCAAGTGTAGAGGGTCTGAGGGCTTCGGTGATCTGTTTGGGCAGGATCAGTATCGAATCGAGTTCGCTGTGAAGGCAGTGAGAGAGGAATACCTTTGTACGCATGGCATCTTCCATTGGTGTTTGCGAAGCCATGGTGGAGAAGGGTCGCCTTGCGAAAGACAGGACTGATCTACGCAGCATCTGAATTCTTCTCTCCCCCTCGCGAGATTCAATCGCCGAGTCTCGGGTTGGCTTGACGCTGAAGCTGCTCGTAACGTTGTCGGAACAATAACATGTTGAATCCGGCCCGTTCCTGCAGCTGGATAAGATTGTTGGAGATTCCCGGCGGACTCTGCTCGGCAAACACGATCAGGCAATTTTTTAATGGCCGAAGCCCCTTGACAACATCCAGTCGTCCACTCCGAGCCCTCCACCAGCTCTAAGATATGCCGTACAGCGGACCGCTGTGGGTAAAGAACCACCCCTGTCATACATTGATGGGTATCCCATAAAAGAGTTGATCCTCGTCGGAGATCTTTCCTTCCGCAATGCAGTGCGCCGCAAGAAGGATCTCCTACGTTGCTCGAGTATCGACCTTTTCCCCTCAATTGTGTTATATAAGGCAACGACCGTTTGCCATCCAGTCTTTATCGTTCAGAATGGCGTCGACTTTACCCCGGTTACCCATCTTCGAGGCCCTCGCAGGACATGATCCGAAATCGACTGTCGTTGTTCACTCTGCTTCCGGACGAAAGTTCACCTACGGGGAATTGTTGAGCGATGTCGCCGAAGGGAAGGAGAGATTATTGAAGGAGGGTGGAGGCGAGCTAGATGGGGAGAGGATAGCTTTTCTTGTCGAAAATAGCTACGACTATGTGGGTGCGCGAAATTTATTGCTTCCATATATCTGTTGGGACTATATTTGACGGAGTCTAGTGACCTTGCTTTCTATTCTCGGAACGCATTCAATTGCGTTGCCTCTTTCTCCAGCTTTTCCCGCACACGAATTACAATATATCATGGACCATAGTCAAGCCTCACTGTTATTGTCCTCGAAAATTTTTGAGAAAAAGGCATTGGAGGTTATGAAGCAGGATTTAGAGAGAATCCCAAAGCATGTCAAGCTAGAGAAGAAGATGGGTGGTATGACCCCTGAAAGGGTGACTTTGGAAGGGCGTTCAGAGGGAGATGGGGGAATGATGCTCTACACTTCGGGGACTACGAATCGACCGGCAAGTCTTGCTCCTTTGTATATTTCTTTCTGGCTCACTAATAAAATGTCAGAAAGGCGTTCTCCTTCCGCAATCCGTTATGACTGCACAAGCCCAGTCTCTCATCCAAGCCTGGAAGTACTCACCGTCAGATCACCTACTTCATGTACTTCCCCTCCATCACATCCATGGCACCATAAACGCCGTGCTCGCGCCCCTTTTCGCAGGCTCCACAATAGAATTTCTCTTTCCCTTTAATGCCCAATCAGTCTGGCATCGCTTCGCAGCTCCCTTCCTCCAAAATCCACTTAGTCCTCCTCCTTCACCAATCACATTCTTCACGGTCGTACCAACAGTATACAACCGGCTGCTTACAACATTCTCCGACCTCACACCAGACTATCAAATCGCCGCCAAAACTGCGATCTCACCACAAAACCTTAGGCTCAATATCTCCGGCTCAGCTGCACTGCCTACACCAACGAAAAGAGCATGGAATACACTCTCCTCAGGCAATGTGCTTCTAGAGCGGTACGGCATGACCGAAGTTGGCATGGCGCTCTCTTGCGGTCTACCCTTTTCCTCACGTGTCGACGGCTCTGTCGGTTGGCCCTTACCAGGAGTCCAGGTCCGTCTAGTTGATACAGAAACCGGCGCAGTAATTGAAGAAGGAGAAGAACTCGATTCAAAAGGTCGAGAAAGAGACGGCGAGATCCAACTACGGGGTCCAACTATCTTCAAAGAGTATTGGAAGAACCCAGCAGCAACAAAAAAAGAGCACGTTGAAGGAGAAGACGGGAAGGGACGTTGGTTTAAGACTGGGGACGTTGCCGTTCGTCGGATTGTTTCTCTTCCCGAGCAAAATGGTAACATCAATGGTCATACGGAGAAGTGGGACCAGGGTCCTATGTACTTCATCCGCGGCCGCCTGTCAGCGGATATTATCAAGTCAGGCGGGGAGAAGGTCTCTGCCCTTGAGGTTGAGCGTGAGCTTCTGTCTTTGCCACAGATAGCAGAAGCAGCAGTCGTAGCTGTCCCGTCTGGGAAATGGGGCCAGAAAGTTGGCGCAGTCATTATCTTGAAAGATAGTGAGGAGGAAGGGAAGAAGGGAAAGTGGGGTGCAATGGACATGAGAAGAGCATTGAGAGAGAGGTTAGCGGCGTACAAGATCCCACAGGTGATGAAAATTGTGGACCACATTCCAAGGAACGCAATGGGGAAAAGTAAGTTTTGTTCTTCTTTTCTATATCGCGTCCTCGCTAGATTCATGCTGACTTGGATATAGTCAATAAGAAACAGCTTGTGAAAGCAGTTTTTCAAGATGAGGCGAGTGGAGATGAGATGTAAATCTAATGTTATTAGCTTAGAGTGTACAATTATAGATTTAGAATATACAATCATTCATCCAACGCCTGTATTGGACAGCATCCTCCTAAGAAGTCTTGAACGCTCAACTTGAAGCTTTACTGTAATCTCAATATTCCAATGTCCCAACTAACTTTGGACCTCTAGAGAAGAGGTCCTGTCAGGATGCAGCCTTGTGGACTCCTCTGTTACTCTGTTAATTCTTCCAGATCTGGACTTCCTGTAAAGGAACGATGGGAAATTTATAATAATATCGTATTCAGCTCTGATAATGGCTACTTGCATAGTTTCGAGTAGAAGAACTCAAAATCCATACCCTTGTATAACTAAGAGGTTATTTGAGTGGGGGAAACATTACCTAGTTTAGCGAGATCAATGGACCACAGGCGGAGTTAATTCCGCAATAGTCTTGTTACTCGTATAAGTTGAAATAACCAAATTTTGGGTCAATGCTCTTAACATGGTCGGCTGGTGTAGTGGTTATCACGGTACACCTCATCTATTAAGCTACTCGCAAAAGCAATGCTAATACATTTGTTAGTCTGCTTTACAGTGCATATTGTTATGCCCATATCGCAGCAGGTCGCAAGTTCGATCCTTGCGCCGATCATTCAAACCATAGAAAACTTTTGCTATTTTATCCAAAGGATAAAGCTCTTGCTGCGTTTTGCTAAAACTTCTGGAATCTTTTTTTTGCTCTTTTTGTCTTGTTTCGTTATCTGCGTCCAAGGTTTTCTTTACTGCAGGCGAGTGTGATAATTATCTGTCAGTGAGGCCGATAGTAAGCGAAGGAAACAAGCTTTATCTAATCGCCGATCGCAACTGCCTCATCTTCCATCTTTGAGCCCCATCCTTTACTTGTTGCATGTTTTGACACGCGTTCCACTCTCTTAAACCCATAACTAGGAGTTTCTCCCCCCACCTTCCATCCGAAGTCCTCTATCATCACGCCGCTATGGACTTCAATGGTTCGTCGCCATTTCCTGAGGGAGTCATCTCCTTCCTCGACACCGACCTCTACAAGTTGACTATGCAATGCGCAGTCTTGAAGTATTTTGCAGATGTGAAGGTTACCTATGCCTTCAAGAATAGAACCCCAGAGAAGAAGCTTTCCAGAGCTGCGTTCTGCTGGCTCCAGATCCAAATCAATAGTTAGACTTCCTCCCCGCCTCAGCCTTGCCGAATCTCAGTACCTAACACAGACAGAGCTCGGAAACATAGCCCTTTCCAATGACGAACTTCGCTTTCTACAGTCAACTTGCACCTACCTCAATAAGGAATACCTCGATTTCCTCAAAGATTTCAGACTCAATCCTCGCGAACAAATCATAGCCTCGTTCGCTGCGGACAAAGATACGGGCAGTGACAATGATATTGGCGAAATCAATCTTGTGGTGAAAGGATCGTGGGTTGAGACAATTCTCTACGAGATCCCACTTCTGGCTTTAACGAGTGAGGCATACTTCCGTTTCATTGATACGGATTGGACATATGATGGACAAGAGGAGAAGGCATATGCGAAAGGCTTGCGTTTGCTGGAAGCTGGCTGTGTCGTTTCAGAATTTGGAACCAGGAGGAGGAGAGACTACCATACTCAGGCGCTCGTGTTCCGGGGTTTGGTCAAGGCGAAGAAGGAGGGGGAAAAGACTGGCTTGCCAGGGCAGATCTCTGGCACGAGTAATGTACACCTTGCTATGCGATTCGGCATTCCTCCTATCGGAACGGTTGCACATGAGTGGTTCATGGGCGTTGCGGCAATCACTGGAAACTATGAAACGGCTACTAAGACTGCCTTGAGCTACTGGGTGGGATGTTTCGGAGAAGGTGTTCTTGGCATAGCTCTGACCGATACCTTCGGCACGCCAGTTTTCTTGAAGGCCTTTAGAGAACCGCTCCCCTCTATTACATCAGACAATCAGAAAGCTTTGCTTGACGGCGTGGGCAAGTTGGAAGCCTCATCCGGTGTATCAGAGAAGGCAAAGACCTTTGCAGACGTCTTCACGGGTGTTCGACAGGACTCTGGAGACCCTGCAAACTTCGTCAAGATTATGCGCGAGTTCTATGACAAGGAAGGCATCAAGGAGCCGAAGACAATCGTTTTCTCGGACTCTCTCAACATCGACCTTTGTTTGGAGTACAAGAAGATTGCCGAGGAGGCTGGCTTCAAGTGCACTTTCGGTGTCGGAACCTTTTTCACCAACGATTTCGTTCACCAAAGCACTGGCCATAAATCAGTCCCTCTCAACATTGTTATCAAATTGAGCTCAGCAGCAGGCAACCAAGCTATCAAGATCAGTGATAACATTGGCAAGAACACGGGCGACAAGTTGACTGTTGAAAAGGTCAAGAAGGTGCTTGGTTATGAAGAGAAGGTTTGGAAGCTTGGTGATGAAGAGCACCGATGGGGAACGGACGATGACCCAGTCAAATAACTTGGCCCCCTTTTTTGAGCTCTTGCTGGCGGCTGTTTGTGTATGCATGGTTGTGCATGGGCATAGGTAATCCATTTTGCATGAGGCGGCGTTAGGACAGGCGGCAGCCTCGACGATTTGAGTCGCAGCATCGGCCATAGAATTTAGAGCGCGATTTGACTTGATGGTCATCGATGCCAGGAAGCAATGAATGAATGACAACAGATCTCGCTTGAACCTCTTAAGCAACGACTATGTTGCTACATGAAAGTGACAACGAGATTCCTCTTGCAGTTGTAGATACTTCAAGAATAACAGTATTCCTCGATTTGCCGCCAGCCTGTGAGAACAGTGACGAGTGGACTCAAATGCAGGTTTACAGAGAACAGTGATGTTTCTTCATGATTTGTGCCATGGTACACTAAAACAATGCTGCTCATAAAGTACCCTGCGGCTGTCGGCTCTATATTGATGGGGGTCAGCCGTACAGTAGCGAGCTCCCTGAGCTAATTTCAGCCAACGAGACGTGCATCTTGTCAAAACGAGCGCCTGGTCGAAATATGCCCTTTGGTTTCCACTCGCACACTTCCTCCTCATCGCAACATGCGCAACACGTTCCTGGAGCTGCTTCTGGTATCCTGCAAGCAGCTCACAGCCTAGGTTCTATCGGAGCCCCTGCTGGCAACCTCAACAACGTCGTGCCTGCGAGAACGGAAGCTGGCACTGATAGGCTCTACCCCTCCGGTGCAACGTCGTTGAACTCGAACTCGAGTTCGGGAGGACAGCAGACTGCGCCGTCATCGGTCTATGCTCCACCACTGTACGCCAATCCATCAATCCACTCCTTCGGCGGAGGTATGAGCCAGGCACAGCAGTTCGAGAACCAGAGACGAAGTCGACACCCAGACGAGCTTCATCTGAGCGGCGCAACGAACATGGCTTCTCAACGCGGTGCTCTATCTCCCAGAGATTACACACCAGCAGGTCCTCGGATCAGCCTCGAGCAAGCCGCTCCTGAAGCATCTCAGTATACAAGCGCGGGGCAGCTCCCAGGCTCTCTACAACCTGGTAGGCCGGGTCCAATTACAGCCAACACAGCGCCCAATGTGCCAACGTTGGCACAAGAACAATACTCATCTCCTTCGAGATCCTCAGCGCTCGGTCTCTCGCATAACTATACACGCTCCAGTCCAGCTGCTGGTTTCGACGGTCAAGGGTACACCCCTTTTACACCAGCAACACCAGGAGGGACTGACCAGGGCCACTTTACATCTCCCACGACACAGAAATATACTCCCCAAAGTACTCAACGCGCAGTTTCGAACACACCACTTGGCCTAGCAGACATTCGACCCCGCGCCGACTCTGGTCTCTCTGACGGATTGCCTGGCGCAAATCCATATTCATATGACGGTGCCAACTCGGTCCCCACCAACAGCAATTATCTTGCACCATGGGCTATATATGCTTTTGACTGGTGTAAATGGCCGGCGCAGAATCACGATGCTGGGAAAGTGGCTGTCGGGAGCTATCTGGAAGATGGCCATAATTTTGTAAGTGTTTTGCTCGGTAAGATCAATTTGTTCTGTGAATCTGCGACTGACAGCATGTTCAGATTCAAATCCTAGATTCGCAAATCACTCCTACACCGCCGGAGTCGTATACACCAGGAGCTGCAAAATACGGGTTGGAGTTCATCAAGATTGCGGAGGCCACGCACTCATATCCAGTCACACGCCTGTTGTGGGAGCCTCCATCATCCCAGAAGCAGTCAACTGATCTTCTTGCCACCTCTGGGGACCATCTTAGGCTCTGGTCTCTACCTTCAGAAACACCAATGGCGTCTCCCGGAAATTCTATTACCCGCTCCGCAAATCATGGACGAGATCTTCCAGCGAGCAAACTTACACCATTAGCACTTCTTTCAAATTCGAAGACCCCCGAGCACACTGCTCCTTTGACTTCGCTGGACTGGAATACAGTCTCGCCCAGTCTCATTATAACATCAAGCATCGACACTACTTGTACAATATGGGACATTCCGACATTAACAGCAAAAACGCAACTGATTGCCCACGATAAAGAGGTCTTTGATGTGAGATTCTGTGCCAACAGCGTTGATGTGTTCGTCAGCTGTGGAGCAGATGGCAGTGTCCGGATGTTCGATCTCAGAAGCTTGGAACACAGTACTATCATTTACGAGCCCACCGCGAAGGACGATAAAGGTACGCTAGAACCAACCCTCCTTGACCTGAAATACTAACTATTTCCTAGATGCCAGTCCTGGTGGAAGAATTAGTCCTACATTGGCGCAGCAGACAATGTCATACGCTCCACCACTCTTGAGGCTCGCTGCGTCGCCCCACGATACTCACCTGCTGGCAACTTTCTCACAAGACTCTAACCTTATCCGGATCCTGGATGTACGACAACCAGGGCAAGCTTTGCTCGAGCTTCGAGGGCATTCAGCTTCAATTAACTGCATAGAGTGGTCACCTTCGCGAAGAGGCACTTTAGCTTCTGGGGCGGACGACTCCCTGGTTCTAATTTGGGACTTGCTAAGCCAGAGCACTGCACTCACTCCACAAGGTTCATCTATCAATGGTGCTCCAGCATCAGAGAATACCCGAGGACCAGCAGCCAGCTGGCAATGCGATTACGAAGTTGGCAATATTAGCTGGGCACCCCATAGCGCTTTGAACAACGATGGCGGGGATTGGGTCGGAGTCAGTGGTGGACGGGGAATCTGGGGCGTTAAACTTTGATAAATGTTGTTATGTTCAAGAACATCATAGACGAAATGATATCCGCATTGTCAAGCCAGGCGTTCGGGTCGAATTCTCAGGCGGCATCAAATATCTGGGCATTTGGGATGAGAATGATGGCGATCATAGCGCTTATTGTATTATAAATGGAAAAGCATGGGCCTCTTGATGGGGTAGCGAAGAACCAAACTAGATTTGTCATATACGAACCCAGCTTTTGCACTCATAGTCGTGAGCCTTGGTGGCCGGACTCTAGGAGCACGACTGCTTTGCCCCAGACCTTTCGGGCTTGAAGATCCTTCATCGCGCTTACCACGCTTTCCAGTCCTCGATAATTGCAATCAAATACTGTTGGTCGAAGTAGACCAGGTTCCAACATATCTTTCAAACCTTTCCAGATTTCAGCCGTCTCTCCTGGATCAATTCGATCGGTC